TTCGTCCTTTCACCCTCTATCATCATCATATCGTGTCATCCTCACAGTTACCATACTGTTACAAGCAATAGTGGTCGCTAATGACCTAGAAGTTAATGCGGCCTTAAATAACAAAAAAAAATGTTTCTCAACAACTTCATGTTCATTTTCAAAAAAAAAGTAGTTTTTGCCTATTTTATGCTTGAAGTATAGGTAATTTAAAATTTTGTTCTCAAAACCAGGTCCAAAATTTTTCTTTTATTTTTTACGCTTGGATATAACAAAGGACACTTGAAAACGGGGCAAGTACAATGATCTTTCTCGTTATTTTTAACTTATGCAATTTTATAAAATTCAGCGTTCGCCAAAAAATAGATCGAGAAATATATGTATCTGGAATATTTCACATTTCCAATTTTTGCAAATACAGAGTTCGCCGTAAACGTGACACGCACAACTATTTTACCGACCTTAGACACCTACGAAGAAAGCATTTAATACAAAAGTTGGAACCGTTTTTGAGAAAATAATTGTTTGAAAATTATATATGTTCACTAAAAACATTACCGAAAAATAACTCATCTCATCGAAAATATCTGTACAAATTTTGAAAACCGTTAATTGATTTTTAGAAATTTTGCGTTGAAATACAGATTTTAAATCTCAAAAACCGTCCCCAACGTTTTCTTTAATATTTTCCACCAATATAACAAGGAAGGTTTGAAGGAATGTCACAGTCTTCCTTTCGTTGAAGTCTCTTAATTTTCGAAAATGTGAGAAATAGGTGCAGTTGTAGCACCACTAGTTTAGAGATAATTTTTACATGAAAAAATAAGAATTCATCCAAATTATGGTGATTTTTACTATTATTTTTGTAAAAGCAAACAAGTATTTCTCCAAAATAAGTTTTCTCGGCCTCGTAAATTGTTTAAGAATAAATAAAACTCTTTCGGGTTCCATCGGTTCCGTCTGACCATTTGATTACTCAAATAGTTCCTTTGCATTAGTGGGTTAAGAAAATTAAAACAGATCTTGAAATATAATTCATAATCAAATGAAGTGCATCTGCAAGAAGTATGAAGAAAGTACATTCTGAGTTTCCATTACGAAATATATCTGTCTGCATAGCATTATGTTTGCAAGCAGGTGTATTTATGCTTGGAAGAATAATATCATTATGGCACTATATGCAAATTAACAACAATTTTCAACGATTTCTTTTTAATTTTAAATTTCATTGACATTTACTTTGGTTTTCGTTTTTTACTGTATTTTTTGTTGCTTATTTGGCTTGCAAATGAAGAACCTGTAATTAAATTCCAGATTACTGCAATTCGAGGCCACAAATGAAAACCAATGTAGGCAGAATAATCGTGCAAAAGGTATTTCGCAGTAATATGACTATAATTTAATAACCGCAGGTGACAACAATTCGTATTGTTTCCGAGATCTCTGAAACGCTCATATGAACAAAATTATTTTGAGAAATCTCACATGGAGCACAATCACATCCCCCATTCCAAGTGACACCAAAATTGACATATTAATAATGATGACGTCATTACAAGTTACTCAAAACCACATGTTCAAAACATCGTTTTGGAAGCGAGCCACAGTTGTACACCATTATCCTGACTCAGCATAAGTTACTCTCTCAAATTGCGGCCATTTCGTCTAATTACAACCAAGACAAATGAGTCGTTCTCTGGAACATATAAAGGGGACGTATAATTTCTACAATGTCAGATCTGTGTTTTCGTTTCTCTTTCGTCCTCAGAGAATTCATTATGTCTCTTTCAATCAAATGCGTTCGACGGGAGGCGTTGTCGAATTCACTATCATCTGAGTCTAGTACATGAAGTCCAGGAAATAGGAATTTGCAAATTCGAAAATCTGTACCCTTTCACACAGAAACATTTTGAGTTCCGAGAAATTTCATTGGGAATCTACCCAAGCACTACTACTTACAATTACAATATTGTATACACCGTGGGGAATGTAAATATTAACGCGAAAAATATATTTTACAGGATATTGCGTGTTTAAAAAAAAAGAATACATTGAATTGGCATTTGTATCATGTTATTCAGTTCATGTAGTACTATTCGCTCAAACAAAATTAAAGAAAAATCTGGAACCGTTTTCCAAAAAATAGCGTTTGAGAGCCTATAAAAGTGCGGAATTTCGACCTCATTGTCACAGAAAACATTTTTAATTTTCGAACAAAATATAAGACATTACTTGAAGCACTAGTTTTAACAAATGGATTAATATATACAAAATCCGCGTTAATGCCGTGAGAGAGATTGCAAAGAAATTACACTTGTTTATGTTTTGAAAAAAAACAAAAGAATACAACAAAATTGTGTTAATGTCATGTCACACGATGCACTATCCTTAGCAAACTTTTAAGAAAACTAAAGATGCTACAAACAGATCATACTTTCTCGCCCCTTAGCGACGGTTATATTATAACAGTATACCGCATGTCAATTAAGCAAAATAAGGTTCATAACGAGTTATTTTACTTATTTGAGAATTATGTATTTTCTCGTATCTTAACTTTAATAAATCGAATTAATAAAGCTGTTGTATTTGTTGTCTCGGCGCGCATAATGTATTCAAAAGGCCTGCGCGGGCACAAAGAATCAAAAAGACCCGCAGGGGAATTTACAGTAATGTTTTTTTTCATGTACGTAAACACACAAAAAAAAACGAACTAGTGAACTACTAAAATTACTTTTAGTAGTGTCTCCAGGATATTCTAATATTCATTTTCTTTTAAATTAAGACCGAAATATACGTTACTTCTAGCCTGAATGCGTAATGTTAAATGCTCCATTTCACACTTCAGAACTTTTCCAAATTCTCATTACTAATCGAAGAACAAACGTTTTATTTCAATCTGCATTCAGAATTCAACGTGTGTATGGGCTAGGGTAGGGATTCCAGAAATTATGGAAACATTCACAGAAAACATTTCTCCCCATATTACCTCACCCACAGTTATTTTGTTTTCGACGTTAAATAAAAAATATAAAGAACTAAATCAATATTCCATAATGGTTCCATGGCAATGTTCAACAATGACAAGAATTCAAAAGAATTTCACATTTATCGTATCTTGTCGACGCTCATTAATCAACTTCTCAAATATACATCAGAACATGAACCGAACAGAACATGAGATCTCGAAATGTGTGAATTTATATACGCAATTGTTTCAATTCTTCTTCCATCTAATGTATTATAAATAATGCTAAAATAATCCAAATCCAACCAATATATCATTGAAGCGCCTGTGGAGCATAGTTGTGTTTATTTCGATAGCCAGGAATTGTGGTCATTTCTAACTTTTACAAATGATATATAATATAATCAGCAATCAAAATCTACCGAATTAAAGAAGATTGTTCTAAGTTCATTATATTACCTTCCTTCAATTTACTTTTTTTCTTAAGATTAACAACACTATCCAAACATCCTCAAACTATGTTCACGAATCACAGGAAATTCGAAGCGGCCAACTATGTTTGATGCCAAATAACATAACACACATATATATTTTGAAAAACAATTGACCCTATTTGAAGATATGTTTCTGATTAACACATTCCATTAAGAGAAAAACATTGCGTCTTCAAAATTGCAGTGTAGGAAGACATCAACACCACTTTGAATTTTTGCAATTTTCAAAAATCAGAATATTCAATGAACAAGAGACCTGCACGATTCTCTCCTAGAGTATTTGTAAAGACGTAACAAACACCACTCATCTGATGCTGTCAAAGTGGGAATCAAGGCGCCAACTAGGCAGACTTCCATTATGTTAGAGCTATGTAAAATTCTCAAAATTAACCAAATTTGTATTAAATATATCGTCGTTTGTTGCAAGTTCAATGCAAAAAATTAAATTTGTCGCTCTTAAACGAATAACGAAAAAAATATAATTCGCAAACATTATAGTAAGTAGCAAAATACCGACAATTCCTAGAAATCCCTAAAATTGTAGAGGTAAATGAAAAATAAATTGATGGAAAATTGTCATCAAAATTGTTTGTACCATCATTCATCACTCAATTTTGAAATATACTTTAGTATTGGAAATATTTTTATTTTAACCGGCCCTCGCTAATCCCAGCCAGTTATTCTCGTCTTTCTGAATGAAGATCCTTTCTTACCTTCATTCTTTCTCGGACGTTTTTGTTTTCAGTTTTCTAAGTATTAATCGCGCAACTTTTCTTGAGCGACGACCTTGTTTCCCCTCTCTGACACAATAAACAGTTGAAGGCAAAAGCTCGCAGTGAGTACTGATAACAACGTTCCAAACACACATTCACTGATGGGAAATCGAAACTATTTTCTGTTGAATATTAGACCTTCTGTCCGTTTTTTCTCTAAAAACCATAAAGAAATGACCGAAATAGGTGACGATACATCATGGCAGATACCTCGAACTCCTGCTATAGTTGGAATGCAAATTATTGAGAAAGTTGGGAAGGCAAGTCTGATTCTCCAGAGATTGGCATTACTTCATAAAATCTAGGGAAAGATTTCGTAACCAATACCCCCATTCTACACTCATTTCTTCAATACATCGTTTAAGAAAACTTGCACAAATAATATCTATTGTTATATGTGACAGCTACACACTCTTCTTCCCAGCCTAAGATTGGGCTCTGAAAGTCCTGTCTAGTACTTTTCGTATGAGAAACAAACTGGGCACTGCATCATGACGTGTATGACGAAGTGCTATTACTGTCCAGTCTCAACGTCTGACATCCTGATAAGTTTAACTTCATTACCAGTATTATCGATTGCGCAACTCGAGAGTATTTTCTGTGAACAGTTGATAAGATATTGTTACCAATATTGAATAATACGTTTTAAACGAATGATAAAAAATAGGCAGATAAAATACAATATAAAAGAAAACTACAGAAGTTAGGAATCATTATTAAGATATATGATGGCAGCTTTAAAAGTAACTTTTTTTGCTCTCTTCGCAATATTTTTGGTAGTATCACATGCAGCAGATTCACGTTGCCCTAGCATTTATGAAATGAGTAAAGACGACTGCGAGGGCTACAGTGATTATCCGATAACTTGTGAAGATGATTCTGACTGTATGGAAGGTTATATATGCTGCCCATCTGAATGTGGACGAAACGCATGTGAATACATTCCTTAATTGAAGGTAATCGTTTTTACGATCAATTATTATCCTTAATTTGGAGAGGGTTAATTCAATTACAAATAATAATTTGATTTTAACGTCTTTTCTTTGTGTTTCAGGAAGTCTAGTTAGTTTGACGTTATGTAACACAGTACGTATTCGTAATATGCAATTTGAATTATGAAGCTCAATGAAAGCTCTTGACACTTTCTCACAGAGGCGTTTGCATCTGTTGTGAGGAACCCTGGCGACTTCACATGTTCACGTAAAGTTCGTGGTTCAATAATTTATATATTTACATAAAATAAACTTAGTTTTGGATTTCTTGCCAGAAATATTTTTCATTTGTAACTCTGTAGCACCATTTTTACTCTTTGCAAATATGTACATATATTTGTTATTTTGACAATATGTTAAAATATCTAATAAAATGAATAGTGTTGATATGTTCTTGTAATTCGAAAAAATTAAATAAAAGTTATCAAAACCAACATTTTAATTTATTCCATCCATAAAAACCACATATATCCTTAAAAAAGCGGCATCTACTCTTGACATTGCCACAACTGGGAACCAAAAATTAGACGAACAGGCTGGTAGTAGGAAAACAACACCTAAACAGTAATTCGGCAATCATTTAATCACTTCAAATAGGACAAAGTTTTAATCCACATGTTAACATTCACAGATATAGAAAACCTATATCTCTCTTGATTATTATTGGAAAACTTACGAATTCATTTGAATATCAATTTAATGAAAGCATGAAAATTAGAATCAGTGAGAGCATAAACCAACAAACCCTCTTCTGTACTGCAATTATTAATACACACACACACACAGCACACTTTCAGGGCACCTCAGCAACAGGGAAAACCTTCTTCTACCCTCCTCCTGCTCGTCCTACATACACTTCCGCCACTTGGCACAGTCATACCAGTAGTCGAATGCTTGCATCTAAACCGCAGATAAAAACATTTCATCTTCTATATCATTTTAATATTATTATTATTATTATTATTATTATTATTATTATTTTTATTATCATCACTATTATTATTTGACGTGTGAATTTTTGAATGTTTTCTTTTGGCATTAAATTATTGCTCATGGATTCAAAAAAATTACTGAGTTTAGTGTTAATAGTTACTTATACAACAAGGGCGTTTTAAAGGTTTCAATGATCGAACAGCGATAAAAAAACGAAGTTGAAAGTTGATTTCAGAGAATTTCAACAGAAACTAGTATTTGTCAATTAGGAAGGAATTCGTGCGGTTTTTGAGCAAAATTATATTATATCGAATGCGGGAACCAACAACGTTCATAAATTGGGCACTAACTTTTAATATGTTTAAGATTTTCATCAGTTTTCATATTACAAAGCGAAAAGATTAATTTGAGTGTATATTGTGCCACATATTTCTACTGTTGATGTTGATTTCTTTGTGAATTTGAGCGACTACTTTAGTAACGGAAGTGGGGATTGCCAAAGTCAGATATTTCTCTGAACATTTCAAATCTCTAATATAATGATATGATAATTCAATAATAAATCAAAAGTATGATGTGATAAGCCGGAAACCTCAGGTTTAATTTGAATGGAAAGAAACGGCATCAAATGGGTGTAATACGATTGCATACAGGCTTGAGAATCAAAGAATACACGTTGTTGGGGCGACAGTTAAACAAAGTAGAGTATTCCACATTTGGGTGTCAAGGCGCTGGATACCGCCCCAACCCATGATATGCGATAAATGGGAAGTAGGCTCTGAAAGCCTTGATTCTGCGGGAAAGAGAAAATATTTAGTGTCTTAATAACTGGTCACATATAAAGACCTGAACACATATAAGCAATTTGCTGCGATGTTTATGTTAGTTTTCAGTATAGTCTGGGTTTATTTGTAAATAGTATTGAAGTGGGTAAATGTTGATTAGTGTTCATAGATTAGCATTGTGGAAGATTATAGTTTGCAGGTGTTAGTAATATTAAATTATCATTGTGGTTTTTGTTAACATAATTAGAAGACTTAAATCGAATAGACTGAATTTCCGAAGGGATTTATTTTGGGGATTGCTCCGTAGATCGGGAGGATATTTTATATACGTCGGATGGAGATAGTCACGCATAAGGTCTTGAAGCCCAGCGAGTGTCAGTCGCAATCGCGAAGTATTTTTGATAAAAATTAAGTTATGAAAATCTAAATCATTCATCAACCCGTCCAGAACGGACCCCCACTTGTGTTTACTAGAAATTGAATATGCATTTCTTGATTCTGTATTAATTATATGTAGGTATCTAGAAGGCGCCATACATTTTGTTAGGTTAGACAGAGATCTTTTAATCACTTCCGAATTCTATCTTACTTCTAACTCCCATGTAATTTAAAAGACCGAAAAGTTAATGATTATTGTTTTTTAAGAACAGCTCACATTTGCGCGAAGTGTCTAGAGGCATCGACTGCCCAGTGTTCTGCTCGTTAGGAATCTGGTAGCAACCTGAAGTAGATATTGTATCCAACCATTTCATATAATCTCATCCGTAAATAAGAGAAATAGGAGTAATAATAATAATAATAATAATAATAATAATAATAATAATAATAATAATAATAATAATAATAATAATCAGTAAAATGTCAAAGAAGTTAAGATTCGTATTCCTACATTTTAGAAGTAAGCATTGGACTACAGGTATAAGTGAGCCTAGTGGCGGAAGTGAGTGTTGGAGGAGGAGGAGGGGGAGGGGAGGGGGAGGAGGAGGGAAGGGTGGTTTCTCCTCTCAATGCACTGCGCTGCAAGTGTTCAGTGTGGGTCTGGTGTCTACGAATATAGTGCAGGTGAGGGGGCTTGGTTAATTCTTTCATTGATTCCAACTTTTATGCTTTCATTAAACGGTTTTATAAATGAATTTGTAAGTTTTCCAATATTTATCTAGAGATATATTGTTTTTTTATATCTACGAATGTCAAGGTGTGGATTAAAACTGAAAATGATTACCAATTTTTTTTGGGGGGGGGGGTTGTGTTCAAACTACCTGCCTGTTCGCCTAATTTTTGTTTCCTAGATAGGAGAGTAGATACCGGTTTTCTTTACAAAGTATGTGTTTTTTAGGCATGGTGTAATGTTGGTAATGTCAATTTTTATTACAATTTCAACAATATAACACAAAATTTATTTTTTATATGATTTAATACATTTTCAAAGAAGGAAATCAAATTATATATTTATAAATACTAAAAAGAATACCACATAATTACAAATGAACAAAATTTTCTGCAATAATCTAAACTGCTTTTCATATTTGGTGTGTTGTCGTATATTGCCGATAACGTGAATATGTAATGCTGCCATGGTTCTTCACAAATAATATCATTAACCGAAAGTGTCATGAACTTTAATTAAGCTTCAAAACTCAAAGTGCATATTACTAATAAGTACTGTTTTACATAACTTGATGCGCTTCAAAACAACCAGCCTTCCTGAAAAACGAAGAAAAATATACGTTAAAGGCTAATTATTTTTTGTAGTTGAATTAACCCTCTCCGTATTAAGGATAATAATTGAACACAAAAAATACCTTGAATTAAGGAATGTTGGCACATTGACCGCCAAATTACTTCACATTTGGCACCTTGTTTTTTAACAGGGCATTTTGATGTTCTGTAAAGTCGTTTCAGACAAGCATTATACATTTCAAGCTTGGCGCTCCGGAGATTGACCAAACACTCATTTCTTTTGTACAAAGTTCCTTGACGTAGATTGTCAGTTGTTTCCTCTTAGTTCGGAGCGTCACCGAAAGATCGCATCAGCTCTTGAACACCCCCGCGCAAAATTGCGATTGTTGTAATACTGGGAAGCCGATTTTCTACCTCAGACGCCTGATCGCATAGCGATCACAAGCTAATGCAGAGAGATTAGTACAAAACACGAAATTCGTTAGTAAAGGTTTAATTTCGTTTGGACAAAAGTAACTGTGACAATTTCTTCAATACTCGTTAATTCTTTCTCCAAGTAACAATCTTTGTCCATTGTGTGTCGTCTCTTTTCCAGAACACTCTTGTCTGACAAAAAACTTCTGATAGAAGAGGTGATGTTTCGTTGCAGCTTCTATTAAAATGCTTTCCCAACATTTCTTCGACTATTTCGCAGCCTGAACAAGGAATGCATGCACATTTATTTCCTCCACATTCAGATGGGCAGCATTTGAAGTCTTCCGTACATTCAGAATCATCGCTACACATTAATCGAGACAAACTGAAATAGAAGCAGTCGTCTTTAGTCTTTCTATCAATGATAGGGCAACGTGAATCTGCAGCATGTGATACTACCAAAGATATTGCGAGTACTACTAAAAAAGTTACTTTTGAAGCCACTATCATTTCTTGTTCTCTTAACTTTTGAAATCATCTTTTATGTGCTTATTTCATCTATATTTCATGCTATATTTCATCTGCTTATTTCTTTATCATTCGTGTAAAATATTTCGCTAAAAATTGGGAACAATATCTTATCAACTGTTCAAAGAAAATACACTCGAGTTAGGCAATGGATAATACTGCTAATGAAGATAAACGTATCAGGACGTCTGTCGTTCATACTGGACAGTAATAGCCCTTCGTCGTACGCGGCATGGCGACGTGCGCGTTTGATTCTCATACGAAATGCACGGGGAAGGGCTTTCAGAGTCCTCTCTCAGGATGAGAAAGAGACTGGGTAGCTCACATGCTGTCACATACAACAATAGATACTTAGGTAACTGAAAATAGAAACGTTTGAAAATACAATGAAGTTAAGAAGGGATTTTTATTTAGAAACACAAGAAAAAACTTGCTTAAATTGGCGAGGGCATGTTAAAATAAAATGGTATTTCCAACACAACAATATACTTGACATTAATGAAGAACGATGACAACCAACCAAGTTAAACGATAACTTTCCATATTTTTTTTTTTTCATATCTACAATTTTAAGGTTTTCTAGAAGTTGTCGGAATTTGATATCCTTATATTACGTTAGCGAAGTATATTTTTTTCTGTAATTGGTGTAAGAGCAACGAATTTTTGTTTTTGCATTAGACTTGCAACAAACGATGTTATATATAATACAGTTTTCGGTTAATTTCAAGAATTTCAGTGTTCTAACATAACTGAAGTCTCCCTAGTGGGCGCCTTGACTCTCGCTCTCGTCGCGTGGGATGGGTGGCTCACTGGGGCGACTTTAGAAACCGATATTGTTAAAAACATAATATGTGTTATAATGTGACAGAACATACTAGGTTACCTTCGGTTTTTTGACTATCTACAAAGGTAATTAAATGTGGACACAAGGCGATACAGACAATAGGCACTGGATAGAAATGCGGCAGGTAATTCAATTTTTGTCCGGAACACAGGGGGCAGAAAATGGAACACAAGATCTTTTTTTTTCGTAATTCCAACTCAAGTAAAAGAAAACATTGTGTAAAGTTCATTAAACTCATGATCACTTTGATACTTTTTTTGTAATACTTTGGCACGAACTACTTTGCCTTGGAATTATCTGTTGAAATTCTTAACAGGAGAGAAGAGAAATCGTGTTTAATCACATATAGAAATTATATCCCACATCCAATTCTTTTCTAGATGTATTACCTACATGTAAGGACGCAGGGTTTCAGCAAGTGACAGTATGAGTTTGTATTGGAACGGATGTCAAAACATTGTGTTTTGGCAAACCTTCCAATGATACATGTTGGAGCGCAGACAGACTTGCAAGCGTTCGAATATTCATAAATGTATTTAAGTGTTTGAATTTTGTCTAACATATAATATGGTGAATTTCAAATCTTTAAGTAACCTTTTCTGTTTCAATTAAAATTTGTAATAATTAAAATAATGAGTTGTTTCTAGACTGATGATGGGTGAAATACATCCTCGCAACATTGCATTGTTCAAATATAAATAAACTCTTTATTATCTGCGATAGTTTGTTCAAGACACTGTTGGTCTAATGAATTTATTGATGTTTTGAAATAAGCTTCCTTGATAATACATCAGATAAGTTTAGCGGGAGGCAGTATTTTGGCATTAATGGACCCCCAAAACATGTATTTACGTAAAACCCTCGACATCGATATTCAGCAGTCTTACAAAACTTTATCTGACTTACGTACGGGCAAGTATACAAATATCTAGCAAGTGGTGCCATAGAATGTGTCAGACTTTCCCTTTTTATATTTCGATTTTTTTTTCGTCGCGGCTTCCTGTTCTGGATTGCCACGTACTCTTGTCAGCTGTCGTCTATTGCCCTCCATGGTACATTATTTTTAAATTGTCTTAATGTTTTTATTTCCTAACAGAACAACCGAATTATTATTTTAAGAATATTCAAGAACAGTAAAACCTTGTCAAAAATGGCAATTTCCTTTGAAGAATTCCGAGCAATTTTTAAGAAAATAGCGCTTAAGCGCAAATGTAAATTCTAAATTTAAAGCTCCTTCTCAAAGAAATTTTCGAGTTTTCCTTTAATTCGTTTGAAGCATATTAACTTACCAATCAAATAGTGTTTTCAATTTGCTGAAAATATACATATGAACGGCACGAGAGATCTTTCAAAAAGTACATTTGTGTAATTATCAAAAAATAATAACCCAAAACGAACTTTACGACATAATAAAAAGAGCAATTATCGCTATGCATTGGAAAAGTTAGAAAAAAAACTAGAACCGTTTTGAAAAAATAGCATTGGAGCATTTCTGAAAATGAATTTTGAGCTACTTTTCACACGTAACGGTTGCATTTTGGAGAAAGTTTATATAACATAATTTAAAGCACATGTATTCATAAAAATAATAATGTGAATGAATCGGTGTTAATGTAAATAGTAACGACGTGAGAGACAAAACAAAGCATTTCTTTGTACCTTTTTGGAAAATCAAAAGAATAATGCAATATGACGTTCATGTCATCTCATAGAGTGCATACGCAGCATCCCTACCAAAATTTTAAAAATAAATTTAGTGCCTTTATGAAAAAATATACGTGAAAGCATTTGAGCTGATCACTCTATTTCCCACCCTAATATTAGGCTCTGAAAGTCCTGCCTCGTACATGTCGTATGGGAAACAAACTGAGCACTGCATCATGACGTGTACGACGAAGTTCTATTACTGTCCAGTCTGAACGTCTGACGTCCTGACAAGTTTAACTTGAATACCAGCATTATCGATTGCGCAACTCGAGAGTATTTTCTGTGAACACTTGATAAGATATTGTTACCAATATCTGCCAATAGGCAGATAAAATAGAATATAAAAGAAAACTACAGAAGTTATGGGATCATTGTTGAGATACATGATGGCGGCTTTAAAAGTAACTATTTTTGCTCTATTCGCAATATTTTTGGTAGTATCACATGCAGCAGATTCACGTTGCCCTAGCACTTCTGGAATGAGTAAAGACGACTGCGAGGGCTTCAGTGATTATCCGATAATTTGTGAAGATGATTCTGACTGTATGGAAGGTTATATATGCTGCCCATCTGAATGTGGGCAAAATGAATGTGAATACATTCCTTAATTGAAGGTAATCTATTTTATGTTCAATTATTAGACTTAATTTGGAAATTGTTAATTCAAATGCAAATAATAATTTGATTTTAACGTCTTTTCTTTGCGTTTCAGGAAGGCTAGTTAGTTTGACGTTATGTAACACAGTACGTATTCGTAATATGCAATTAGAATTATGACGCTCAATGAAAGTTCTTGACACTTTCTCACAGAGGTGTTTGCATTTGTTGTGAGGAGCCCTGGCGACTTTACATGTTCACGTAAAGTTCGTAGTTCAATAAATTACATATTTACATAAAATAAACTTACTTTTGGAATTCTTGCCAGAAATATTTTTCATTTGTAACTCTGTAGCACCATTTTTACTCTTTGCAAATAAGTAAAATTATTTGTTATTTTGACAATATGTTAAAATATCTAATAAAATGAATAGTGTTGATATGTTCTTATAATTGGAAAAAATAAATCAAAATTATCAAAACCAACATTTTAATTTATTCCATCCATAAAAACCATATATCTTCTAAAAAGTCGGCATCTACTCTTTACATTGCCACAACTGGGAAACAAAAATGAGACGAACAGGCAGGAAGTAAGAAAACAACACTTAAACAGTGATTTGGCAATCATTTAATCACTTCACATAGGTCAACGTTTTAATCCACATGTTGACATTCACAGATAAAGAAAACCTATATATCTCTTGATTATTATTGGAAAACTTACGCATTTATTTGAAAACCAATGTAATGAAAGCATGAAAATTAGAATCAGTGAGAGCATAAACCAACAACCCCTCTTCTGAACTGCAATTATTAACATACACTCACACAGCACTCTTCCAGGGCACCTCAGCAACAGAGAAATCTCCTTTGTCCCACCTCCTGCTCGTCCTACACACACTTCCGCCACTTGGCACACTCATACCAGTAGTCAAATGCTTGCATCTAAACCGCAGATAAAAACATCTCATCGTCTGTATCATTTTATTATTATTATTATTATTATTATTATTATTATTATTATTATTATTATTATTATTATTATTTGACGTGTGAATTTTTGAATGTTTTCATTTGGCAAATAGTTATTGCTTGTGGATTCAACAATACTACTGACTTTAGTGCTAATAGTTACTTATACACCAAGTGCGTTTTAATGATTATTAGAACTTGTTAACGCCAATCGTACATACAAAATTTTATTTTTACCAATTTTAATGATTCAGATATACCTATTTACTAACTAACTAGATGCTAAGCTGAGCCAGGTGGTAATTTTATACCCTCCTCCATACTTCCCACGATAAGAGGACATATTGCCCTCGTAACCCCGTTGATCTCGGGTTGAAAAGTTGCATAGCGTAAATGGAACTCTGAAAAGAAGGCAATGACAAGCAATAACGTATCAGTAAAGTATAAGATCTTCACAGGCACGCACATCTTCAAAACGGCAGTATCGCACATCTTCAAAACGCAATATTACAATGTTGCAATTTCTGCCTTCACTTCAAAATTTCCAAACAAATTGACACCAAGCACCTGCGGTGCATATCTGCTATCACTTTGATAGAAACTTTACTTCTATTTCCGTACTTTTATACGTATTTCCTTTCTTCTACAGAAGAAATAAGAATTAATACACCTTAACCTTTACAATATTTACAGCGCATTTTTTAGGGAAGCAAGGATAATTTCACATATAAATTACACACCCAGAACTAAGGGACAACCACATTCTTGCATGAATATGAATGCGTATATAGTACGAAGAAATAGTCATTACGTAATGCACGTCTTGGCCATGCACATTCTCTATTAGCGGCCCCGGCAATGGTTGTGAAATGAAGTGTATTATATAAATAAACACATATAACCTCACTTACAAATACTATCTTTTGCTATGACACATCAGTACAACTTATTTTTCCCGGGTCTGTCACCTCAACATTGTTGAGGTTGCGAAATATTGCATATACGAATTTCATTGCATATACGAAATATTGCATATACGAAGAGCATTAGCAGAAACTAGTGAATGTAAATAGTAACGACGTGAGAGACAAGACAACATTTTTTTTGTAATTTTTGGAAAACTAAAAGGATAATGCGATAGGACGTTCATGTCAGAAGTATTTTGGAGCTATTTTTGAGAAAATTTTGAAAATATTCAAGAGGCTTCATGTAAAGTACCCCGAAATTTTAAAGAATGTTTTGCAAAACCTCAAATCTTGGACTCGAATCAGATGAATAGGTGTTTCTACAATTTTGAAAAAATCCTTCACATGGTTTAGACGCTAGTGTTCACAGATAGACGGAACCACAGAAGGTCAAACGAATGTTTGAGAAAAAAACACCTTTTTTGGTATCTGGGTTCCCAAAACGTGTATTTCTGTTGAAATCTCGAAATCGTTTTCCCATTACGTAACTTTCCTTATACTACGTATATTATGTATATTATTCGGCATAACGTAATAACGTATAACGTAACGTAATAACATATAACGTAAACGGCCGCACTACGTAACTTTTACTATACTACGAATATTACTCGCTATAATCGTGTGTTTACGCAAAAGTAAAATTGGTATAGCTTTAGGTCGAGGTCAGAGGCACACACGTGAGTGGCGACGAGCGCAGCTAGACGTCAGGGAAGGGTAGTCAATCAGTGCGATGCTCTTCGCCTGGCCCTCTCGAGCGGATGGAGTCGATCCTCACGCAAAATCCTCGCGAACAGGGATTTGATCTCACGAAAAAAAAATTCCGCTGCGATAAAACCTTTCTCACATGTTAATACCACTTTCTCGGATCATAGAGCAGCGACTGAACGAGATATCGGCTTAAAGAATGTCAATGGGCAGGAATGCAATCAAAGCTCTGCATGACCTTATATGGAATAGTGTTTTAAGGCAAGACACAAAACGACACATATTCCACAGTATCGTGGAAAGTATTATATTGTATGGAGCAGAAATGTGGCCGTTAACAAAACGCCTTAGATACAGAATACGGTCGGTAGAGCTCGACTTTCTGAGAAGATCTTTGCAGATAACAAGACTGCATAAAATAAGAAACGAAGTGGTGTGGGAAACAGCTGGGGTTCAAACAACCATAACCAGAAGACTAGAAAATAAATCTCTTCAATGGTATGGCCATGTCCAGAGGATGCGAAATGAGAGATGGCCAAAACAAATTGTAAATTGGATTCCTGACAGAAGACGTAGAAGAGGTAGAGACCAGGTTTAATCTGGAAGACATATATACATGAAGTAATGGAGGAGAAAGGATTGGAAAAGAGTCAATGGGAGGACCGAGAATTATGGAAATCGAAAACGGCAAACTCTAAGGGGTAGAAACCGTCGAAGAAGAAGAAGGTCAACGAACATTTGCGTTTCAGAGGATACAAACTAACGAATAAAACGGTAGGGAATGATTCAAAAAAAGTAATGGCGTCATTAATTTATAGCCGCAAGAAAGGAAATTATAATAAACAATTTCTAAAGCACAATTTTTTAGTGAAAATCCTTTTCACTACCATCTGTCGATATTTGACAGAATGACTCCAGAGTTATTCAGGACGCGTTAACTGCGTTGGTCATTAGTCCCGTATGACTAGTGCATTTTTTCCCTGGCGTAGCGACGATCTTCCTTCGCAGAATGGTGAGGTCCGGCACCGACCTTGCGTCGACTAATGGGGTTTTCCCCAACCAGGTATCGTCCACCAACGGGACACCGCCCCAGCCGGGATAAGTTACCGGCCGGTCTTTCAACATGTGTGGTAGTATAATGCGTGTAATGCATGTGTGTGTGTGTAATTAAAGAATGATGGTAGGGTAAAGATCGCGGTCGGTCCATGGAGCGTTTGTTAGGACACTGCTCCGGCATTTGCTTGGTGTTGATCGTTTAAACTACGGAAAAGTACCGATCAATCCAGCCGACAGCTACAATTCTGCTTCGGACAGCGACTGAATTTGACCTAGCTATCTGCTAGAGTCGAAAATTTTCTGCACAGTCTGCACCTGCAACTGATGTTACTGCATCGGGAGATGACCTGAGCCACCTCTGTTGGTACCACATGTCGAATAATTTATAGCAAACTTCTTCCAAATATTAGTAATATATTTAAATTGTGTGAATATTATATACAAAATCAAAATGATAGTAAGTATAGTAAAGGATACCAATAACTGGGTATAACAAGCTCATAAAATACGGCGGATTAGGACGATGTGTAACACATCAATACCGAACCTCAATAATTTGCTATATATTGCAAAATATATATTGCAGGGTAGATAATAAACCACAGGGGTGAATCACTCACAGTTTATACAATAAATTTAAAATTATTTAGATTATAGTATACAGAAACCAGCAGGCATATGAAACCGCAACATAAATTTCCATGTGCTAACAGCGGAAGTGATAAGACCTAGTCTCTTCAAACCCAGTTATTTGTCTTACGTTGTAATCTACAAAATTATATATATTTAAAGTTTCTACTTATTTAATCCTCGTGCTTAACGAGATACGGCTAATTGTAGAAAATTGGCATTTTGTTGTTGTTTTTTTCGCTTTTGTCACTGCATTGCGCAGTTGTTCACATACGTAAAGAATCTCAAAACAAATAAGAATTTATATTGATATTCTATGCAATTTTTATTGCGCAATTTTGAATGACTGTTAATAGCATAGTTGATCTCCGATTTGAGCGTACGGGCTGCATGGTGAGTGCTAAGAGTCTGCACCAAAACTATCAGCGTTAAAGAAGTCCATTTGCTACCACGAGTTACTAGCTACAGGAATCTAGGAGTTACTAGGTTCACGGCGAAATGCTCACCGGTCGCAGCAGAGTTCAAGACTACAGTCTAGTGTCAAGGCCCTATACAGAGTAAAAATACAGTCAATTATTGAATTGGTGGTAGAGCGTTGACTGATTACGTAAATGTTGAGCAGAAGTAAAATATCTATTGATGATGATGATGATATAGCTTAGGAATGTCAGAATGTTTGCTAACGCACAACATCGAATAAATGTACATCATTTATTATAAGATTAACATGAAAGTATTTACGTTATTGGCGCACGTAAAATCCTATTTAATGTAAAATATCTAGGAAACAATACTTGATGTGTTTGCACTTCTATTTGTTTCATTGTTGTCATTTCCTAGTAGCATTACTACAGAAGAAAAATAATTAGTAATCGTTTGTAGATTATTTTGAATCCTTGACGGGATATCGGCCCTTTTATTTAATGCCATACTCTGTTTCATTGTTATTTTACATTGCTCTTCCACAATCTCTATTTCGATGTGGAAGAATCTCAGACTCAGCAGCCTTGGCATTGTGAATTATTATTTTTAACTTAGAAAGACATTTTAAATGGTTGTTAAGTATCAAAAACAAAAAAACGACTAAGAGATTTCATAGTTAGTGGAAGGCAGCGAGAATAACACATAAGAAGAAAAAAAACCAAAGGTAATAAATAAGCTATTAATCCTTCTATATGGAAATATATAGCTAATATCTACCTATTAGACATAACAGAAATCTTTTTTTCCGAATACATTTAGAATATTTTAAAAATATAATAAATTAATATAATTTATATAATTAATAGTTTTCATTACAATTTTTTTTGTTTCAACGTTCTTTGCGTATGAAATATGGCACCAATTATATCGTTGACAATCATTAACGTAGCGCGTGGTGAAAGAGTTTTCAGAAGCTCGAAATTCTTGCATTAGTTTTAAAGAAGCACTAGAAGGGAGGCGCTAGAAATGCGAGCTGAAAAGCTAATTACTCTTCACGGAACATTTTGTGACATTTTTAAGCTAAAACGTCCTTTTATTTGGACTCTCATCCTTGATATTTTCTAAGTGACGCTACGAAATTGTGAGACTCCTTAAAATTGCATTAAGCAATACAAATTTAAACACTTCAATAAAGAAGCTCAAATAGACGGAATGTGAAAACGGACTTGGTCAGAAAGTAATTTTTGCTGTCTTGTACATCGATGATGAGCCAGAAACCCCCCTTTAAATTTGAATATTAAAATGTCATGAAGGCATCGCAAATAGCACGAAATAAATTCATATAGAATGATAATTGTCAAAGAATACACGTTGTCAGGGTGACAGGTAAACACATGGCGCTTTCATTTGTGGAACGGGAAGCAGGGACCGTTTTATATATATATAATATATATATATATATATATATATATATATATATTATATATATATATAATATATATGGAATCTGGGTTTATCAGACCTTAATTTTGCAGTTATAACTATTTTGTTTGAAGGATCATGATGTACTGATACAACAGGAATGGCAAACGATGTGTAACACTTTACTCAATGAAATTGTGACTTTCTGTCCTTCTTGTTGCAATTAGCACCTGGCTTGCTTTCCAACTACTTGTTTTCCGTTGGTGGTGTTGTTTTGGTTAGTTTTCTCGGTCTGTCTCCTGACCTCTTTCCAAAGACATGGTGAGACGCTCTGTATCGCCAATTGAGCCATTGCAAGTTCAGTACACAATTTTTTTCATAAATTGTCGCCTTTTCATTATTGCACTTGTGTTGGACAGGATATAATAAAACGCATTGAATGCCGCAACATTCTATATGCGGTAGAACACTACCATCGTCTACCGACGCCTACATCTGGCATCGCTTAAGAAGCACACTTTTTATCGACAACACTAGTCCTCCTTTCGCGAGTTTGTAGAATTTTGTAGTTTATCTCTATGTACAATATTGAATAAACCGAGAAACATTCAACTTAACTGAATTTATAGAAACCAGAAAATGTATTTGTGTTCCCTGAATAGGGATATATCCACCAAGTTTACCTTTCACATTTCAAATCCATACATGTTTAAAATCCAGGAGGTTACACAGCTCCCAAGAGCGAATATTTTTGATTAACTGTTAACGCTCATAAACAAATGGTAGGCACATGAAACCTCTGTGCAAATAGCGGTAGTATGTGCTCAGAATGTAAAGGAGTATATAGTACATGTTGAAATAGTTACGGATAAAAACGGTCGCGATAATTTATATCCCTAGTTCAATTCATTTCAAGCCTTGATGTTATATGTGCCATTCCACCCCAGTTCAAGAACCATTTCAGAGATGTTTCCTTCTTTTTTTTAAACATTTAATATCAGATTCGTATTGTCCAGAAGTACAAAATATCATTTTAGCGGTGTACTGTAATTATGCTTGAAGTAAGTAAATTCTCATTGCTTATATGAAACAATAGCAAAACGCCAAGATGGTATTGGCGACATTTCCGATTAACGCAGGACGCACGTTGGGTAACTTCAGATCTTTAACAATTAAACACACTACTGTTGGGGCAATATTTAAATTTAAATTCATAGTGCAAGTAAAAAGAACGGACAAAAGCCCAAATTCCCAAGCAGCCTATCATTTGTTCTCGAACAAGCATTCGGGCGTGCTGCATCCAAGTCCCTAATGTGTACTCAGCCTGAGACAAAGCCCATACGGCGTAGAGCCAAGCAGGGCTGAACAGAAGTAGATCAAGCGGCCGTCGCGAGAGAAGCAAGGAAATGCGGTTTCTGCAGGTGAAAGCTAGTCCGCAAAATAGCTCGCGCAACGACGTCCTGCAGTCCTGCTGAACGCGCCGACAGCAGCTCCAGAACGTGCCTAGAAGCAAGCGGTGAAGCGCTTCTGCATCGGATGTGTTTCCGTGGACCCCTTTGTAGGAAAGGAGAACAAGACGAGACGACACCCACACTACACGAGACGACACTACACGAGACGACACTACAACGAGCAACACTACTCCGAGACGACACTACACGAGACGACACTACACGAGGACGACACAACGAGAGCGACACTACAACGAGACGACACTACACGAGACGACACTAACACGAAGGCGACACTACACGAGACCACACTACACGAACGACACTACACCGAGACGACACTACACGAGACGACACTACACGAGACGACACTACACGAGCGACACTACACGAGACGACACTACACGAGACCACACTACACGGCGACCATACACGAGACGACACTACCACAGGCGACACTACACGAGACGACACTACACGAGACGACACACCACGAGAACGACACTACACGAGACGACACTACACGAGACGACACTACACGAACGAACACTACACGAGACGACACTGACAACGAGACGACAAGACACGACACGTGATAACACGAGACGTCACGAGACGACACGAGACATCACAAAGACGTCACGAGACAAACACGAGACATCACAAGACGTCACGAGACGACACGAGACATCACAAGACGACACGAGGCTAACACGAGACATCACAACGACGTCACGAGAGACACGAGACATCAACAAGACGTCACGAGACGACACAGAACATCACAAGCACGACACGAGACTACACGAGAACATCACAGACGACACGAGACGACACGAGACATCACAAGACGTCACGAGACGACACGAGACATCACAAGACGACAGAGATTACACGAGACATCACAAGACGACACGAAGACGACACGAGAACATCACAAGACGTCACGAGAACGACACGAGAAATCACAAGACAGTCACGAGACGAAAACGAAGGCGAGGCGAGATGAGGCCGGTGAAGAAGAGAATGTGCAACAACAGAGAGGTAGGTGTAAAGACGTATAGACGATACACTGCAAAGCACATGAATGCATAAATTAAAAGGGAAAGGAAGAAAGGATGTGTCGAGAGAACGAGTGAAGGATTAGACATTGGGGTTATTTCGTGATTATTTGTTTCCGGCTCATCAACTGCTAAGATCATTAGTTGCATAACTGTAGTGCATGTATTATCAAGGGATGCGGTGTGCTCCTTCCTCCAGCTGGATAGTGGAGATCAGGGTCCCCCAACACGATCGTTTGTGGGTAGTTTTACCCCCTCCACGAACTCCCTCCAGCGAGGCACGCCCAGCCGCGGAGGAAACTCTACCACTTATGACTGATCCTCCAGCGAGTGTGGGAGTGTGTACATGTAAGGGTAGCGCCCGTATAAATGTGTGTGTAAGGCGAGTGATGGGACAAACGGGAGGAAGGAAAGTTTGGGAGGCAGTCCGGCGGTCCGTTTCTAGGATACTGCACCAGCGTTTGCCAAGTATTGATCGTGAAACCACGGAAAATTAACATATTGGATCAGCCGGCCGCCAGAATTTTCCTTCAAACAGCATCTTATCTCGGCCATGCAGCTGCTGTGTGTAGCTAGTTTTAAAAACAATCCTACCCACCTTGGGCACACATACCCTGGGACCTGAAACGTGAGGCACTACCAACACAATGAGCCCACAGCCTTACCCACCTCATCCGATGTAAAACATTGGCCGTCTCCGGGTAACGAAGAGTTTGAGATGCGGACGAAGCTGACTGGTCCATAA